GCGGGGTGACCTCATTGCAGCCTTCATGTACCTAAAGGGAGCCTACAAACAGGAAAGAATCAACTCTTTGAAAGGGTTGATAACTGCAGGATGAGGGGAAATGGTTTTAAGTTGAGGGAGGGAAGATTTCGGTTGGATGTCAGGGGGAAATTCTTTACAGAGAGAGTGGTGAGTTGCTGGAACAGGCTGCCCAGAGAGGTTGTGGATGCCCCATCCCTCGAGGTGTTCAAGGCCAAATTGGATGTGGCCCTGGGCAACCTGGTCTAGCATTAGGTGGGAAGGTTGGTGGCCCTGCATGTGGCAGGGGGGTTGGTGTTTCATGATCCTTGAGGTCCCTTCCAACCCTGGCAATTCTGTGATTCTGTGATATAATAATGCAAAAAGTTGACTCTTCTGATCAATATCCTTGCAAGGTTTTGAAGTGTAATGTGGCTATACATAGAAATATGACTGGTATTTTCATCATTTGATTTATTTATACTTTGAGATTGCTTGATTTTACATAGAATCATTCTATTTGGATAAACAAAATATCAAGCTATCTATTGTAACTGCACTGTTAGTTTTAATTTCTTTAATTAATTCAAATGGTTTGCTTTTTTAGAAATTATAGATGTTCTATTTATTATTTGATTTATTTTAGGTTCTGTGTTCTTTGGAATTTGGGCACTGGATGTCGGAGGAACCATATGAACTTTCTTCCAACTTCCCAGCTGCTCCTGTAAGTTTAATTGCCTTTTAAGCTTGTTAACATTCTTTTGTTTCTCTAAGAAATGATTTGCCCTGTACATAGGTTTTGTGAGCAAGAATGGCATATAGAAAAAGAAAACAGTTAAAGAAAATGCCATAAGGAGTTATTTTCTACAGCATCTTGTACTTTTTGAAGTGTGTACAACCACTAACTTCTGGAGAATTCTGCAAAACCTTTGGTATGCATAGAAAATACAAAAGATTGATTCACCAATTAAAAATTGAATCAATTTGCTTCTTTCTTAAATACTAATGCACTTTAATTTGTGGCTTTTTGATTACTATCCTCACTTGAATGTATACTGGAGAGACATGTTATTGCCTTATGAGATGTCTCTGGTCATGGTGTCAGTGGTTTCAGCCCAGAAATGACTTTGGGGATGTAGAAGTACTGCAGGCTTCTAAAACTAATTTTTTTCCTGTCTTTAATTCTCACTATACCGTGTTACAAACTACTGCAAAAGTGTTTTTGTTGAAGGGTGGTGTATCTGTACAGATCTAAGTGTATCTGCACATGTTGTAATGGATTAAACAGTAATTTAATTTTGGATATAAAATATTCTATCAGGTTAGTAGTTGATTGCTGTAACTTTGTCAAAAGATTTTCACGTTTTCTATTACACTGTTGCAGCAGCTAGATAAATATTTTTTTATCTGCTACTTGTCTCTCAAAGTTTCTAACAGGCTTTGAAGAAAAAACATTTAATTGAGGTTGAATTTTACTACTACCATAGTTGTATTAACTGCTAAGGAGTTATTTTAAATGTTCTTTTTAAATCTATATATTTTTGTAAATTTATATGTTCAAGATGAAGTCTTTATTTCATTATTTTAAGCTCTAAGTTCTCAAAGTGTAGGGAATCTGTAATAGTTTTCCTGAAATAAGCCCAAAGAAATTAATCATCAATTACAATTTTGTATATTTTCCTGAAGAATTCAGTTTTTATATAGCAAATCCATGAATGGCAGTGTTTAATGTGAAGAATATATTAGCATGTTCTTTTCTTTTCCTTTTTTCTACATTTGTACAAAAAGAAAACAACACTATTTCAGGCCAAGCTGCTTTGAGCTTTCTGTTTCTTCTCAGACCACCTTGTCTCCTAAGTATGTTATCAGTAACAACTTGCACGGCATTCTTTGGAAGTGATTCCAGCTGGTGTCAGTTTCTAGATTCTGTTTACAGTTTTTATTCCCAATGCAGAGCTTCAGAAGGGTGGAGAGATGGTGAGGAGATAAAATTGAAGGAGGTATGCATTGCTTGTTTGCAGGGTGCTTTTGTTGAGGAACAAAGTTGATGTTGAAAGTCATAATTCCATCACCTTCCTAATCATTCCTTTCTTGAGTCATTCTGAAGTCCAACTGTAACAGATACCTTATATTTAAAGATAAGATTTTCATTTGAGCTTGAGTGGAGTTTCTTATTATTTCTTCTCAAGAAGCAATATGGAAAATGAAAGGGCATTCTACTTTTATATACTGTTTATTTGATTACAAGCAGGAATTAAAGAAGGGATTATATTACTGTTGTATTCTGATTTTTTTGTACCGAGTCCAAAGAAGTTGTTGCAGTCATCTTCCTGTAGTATTCTTTCTAAAATATCCTCTTCTCTCTTCACTTCGATATTTCTAAGCAATGCAATCTCATTTAGATAATGTGATGATATCACTGTAAAACTTATTTATTCTAAAATTTTACGTTCATGTTAATGAATAACTACTCGAGTCTAATGGTTGGCAACTCTGCCTATGGCAGGTGGGTTGAAACTAGATGATCTTTGAGGTTCTTTTCAATCCAGGCCAACCTATAATTATATTTTAAAATTTAATTAATTTAAAGTCTTGTTAAACAATTGGTCTGCTAAAGATCTATCTCAGCATCTTTGATGAATAGTCATCAGAAGGAACCTTTTACTTCATGTTTTTCCCCAGCAAATTGAAACTAACCATGCAGTGTATAGTTTTGTACCTTTATTTTCTTACTAAAACAATGATGTTTAATAATCAGAAGTCGGCATCTTTTTTCTTGGCCAGGTTAAGCATGCATACTGTGCCAGATTCCATTGCATTTTGTTAGATGATTTTTTTAGATTATTGGGCTGAGTATGCTTACCGTCACAAATATTGGGAGTATTTTCTTTAGTCATCTGATGAAATGCAGTGAGGGAGGAAGCATGTTTTTTCTATCCAATTTTATGGAATCATAAAATATCCTAGATTAAGACGTAACACAAAGTTTAGTTCAGTACCCTGTTCTAAGCAGATATAATTGGATGAAGATAATCAAGGACTTTTCTGGTCCACCCTCATGGTATTAAACAAATAAATAGGAGTCCAGCTAAGTAGAATTTCCCAAATTCCAACTTACGTTCATTGTTCCACTATACTACACTTCCAAGAAGGGATCTGGCTCTGTTTTCTCTGTGTCAGGTAGCTGTAGACAGCAGTAAAGTCTTCCCCTCTCCTGTCCAGGTGGAAAAATGCCGTCTCTTTTTTGTATGTCATATGCAGTAGCTCCCCTACTGTATTGGTCTTTAATTTCAAGAATTTCTAAGAAATGTCTTGAATTTTGTGAAGTGATTTTTAGACTGACATCTGCATATCCTTAAAAGTTTCCAGGATAAATAATAAATTACTTAAACAGTAATCTTAGATACATTGAGATTATTGTGCACAACTCTTCAGATGATGATTGTTAATTTACATTTATTAAATTTATTTAAAATCAGTTCATGAGGTAATATTGGGAGTATTTTTTATCTCTGATACTCCTTAGTAGTGCAGATACACATTTTTAGTGAAGAAGAGGTGGTGTTGCAAGTGGTAGAGTATTCTGATAGCAGTTTTAATGACTTCCAGTATGAAATGTAGTTTAAAAAAAAGCAAATGTTACCCAGTAGATGAATTTATTCACATTGTGTCATACACAGAGGGCCTATTTCTTCATGGAGAATTTTGAGGAGGGGGGGAAAAAAAACCAAACCAACAGTATGTTCTTAGGTAACCTTCATATTTTTTTCCTGTTTTTTCAAATGTAGAAATTTGTTTCTTAAGACACAAGCATAAACTGAATTGCATCAAGGAACATCCACATGGTTTTTAGATTGTTTTTACAAAATGTGTAGAGGACCATGGTACCACGTGATAACTGATTGTGACAGGCAATCAGGCATCTGGTGTTAATGCTATTGTCTCCCTTTATAAAATACTGCTCCATTATTTTATGGATAGTTGACAAGGAAATAAAAAAGTGCAATCATCAGAACAATGTAAAGAAACTCATACTATATTATAACTTGCAGGGATTTCTGTAAATTAAAGGTTGTGATCCATAAACATAAACTGGAAAAAAACAGTGATTTTGTACATGGCATTTTCCAAGAATAAATGCAAAGTCCTCTGTTAAATAAAGTAATACAAACTATTGGAAAAAATCCCTGAACAAGAGTAAGAAGTTAAGAGGCTATGGGGGAGAGAATGTATTAAGTAGTATATTAAGCTAATTACAGGACGATATATTTTTATGTACATAAACAGCAAACATACTCAGAGAGATAAATAGTTCTAGATCTAGGTAAATTTTATATTAGAGTAATGTTTGAAGTTCAGTGACAAGGCAAAATGCATATTTCTAAAACTATTTTAGATATTTTTCACAGTTCCAGTTATTTACTAACACATACATAATATAAATGATCAGTAAAACACAGTCCTTCAGTTGTCTAACAGTTTCTTGGATATTCTTTTTATTCAGTCATTTGGCCAAATCACTGTTATATCGGGTTGATGCCTTAGGCTTTGTATCTAGTTGAATAATATGAGCTTTAACTGATCAAGACTATTGCAATTCAAGAATTGGAATGAGCTGATCTCTTCAGAATGCTAGTGCATGTATTCTGGGCTTGAAAATGAGAGTTGCAGATGTGTTTATATGCTTGGCAAGTAAAGTCTTTGAAGACTATACAATACATAATTCACATAAGAATGCAAAAGCATTTAGAAATCTGCTGGTCGAATCATCATAGTCGTGGCTTTGAGAGAGTATCCCGAGCCTTTCCAGTAGTACCACTTAATGCCATTGAACTTGTTGTTGTTCTGTCGTAATGGATAATACATTCCATTGAGGTTAGAAGGACCACATGCATCAAACCACCACCCTGCAAGACCAGAACACAAAGATAAATACCAGCAAATGAAAATGTCAGCACAGATAATTTTTAAAATAGCATACATGAAGATTTTAACACTTTATTGTCCCAACATGAGAAACAAACCCAAACCCAGTATTTCATTCTCATGATTTTGGAGTGTTAATATAAAAGATTTACACCCAGCCCAGTAAGGAAAGGTATTAATTACATATTCTTAAAGCTTAATGTAATTAAGTTAGGAGTTTAAAGTTGAAAAGGGAAGGTATTCAATCTACCTTACTGATGTCAACTATTATTGACAATCCAAGGGCAGAACTGTACTCAAACTGTAATGATATTGAGTTTTCTTTGCTTTTCATCTGCCCTTTTGTAAATTCCTGTCCTTCACAGATGTTAATTCCTTTCTTAATTATTTTTAGAGGATTAATTCAGTTATTTGTTTTAGTTCTGTGTGCAGATCAGTTCAAAACAACTGTGTTGAAACTTGGTAAGGAGGAAAAAGCAGCCCAAACTTATTTTGCATCTTTGTGGTCTTGACCTGTTAGTTGGTCATAGGGAAAATTTATTTTTATTAATAGGATAATATTTTTATACTTCTGTTATGAAGGCGATAATGTGCGTGTTCTGTTTTACAGGGCAGCAGTCCAATTATCTTTTTGGATAAACTGAAAGTCTTTTGTGCTATGGGGAAACAAAGCATTTCTTAAGAGATAACAGGAAAAGAAGTCAAATTTACAAAAGTAGTTGTTTGCATTACAGAATGTGGAAGGCTAGATTGACAAATTATAGAATGACTTGTGTAGCTAAAGGTAAAAACTTCATT